ACTGAGCAACCAACAAGATGGAGGGCCAAAGATGGGAGTCAGTATTGTTAGGATTCCTAAAGAAATGATCCATAGGTAGCTGTAGATTTTGTGTGTCCATGAGAGGAGATGAGTTCAGGATCTTCCTATGCTGGCATCTTGGACCCCCTGATTTTTAATAAAGTTAATTTGACATAGTCTGCATTCTCTTATTCCCCTGACATCTAGTTGATTTCTTTACATTTTTTTATGTTGAAATAATTACAAATTCTTGGGAAATTGCAAAAATAGTATGGAGAGGTCCTGTGCCCTTCTACAGAAGATTCCCCCAGTGGTTACATCTTGCATAACTGTACTATGATATCAAACCCTAGAAAATGACATTTGTACAATATGCGTGTCTACCTCTGTGTCATTTTAGCACATGTGTAGATTTGTGCAACAGCCACCTCATTCAAGATACAGAACTATTCCATCACCACCAAGACCTCATTCATGCTACTCCACCATAGTCATATACTTCTTTCGACCACCACAATGCCTGATTTGTTCTCCATCTCTATAATTTTGTTCTTTCGAGAATGTTATGTAAATGTAATCATGTGTGATTCCATACATATGTGGAATTATATGTCTGACCTTTAGAGCAGGTGTTTTCCACTCAGCGTGATTTGGAGAGTCATCCAAGTTGCTGGATTTAACCAATAGTTGTATTTTATTATTGAGTAGTAGTGCATGGTATGAATGTACTTGTTGATTTCTTTTTAAATTTTGCATATTATAAAATTATTAATTCTCTTTGGTGTGTATTTCTGTGGATTTTGACAAATGCATAGATTTCAGTTTCCACCATCAGAGTGTCATTCAAACAATTCTAGCACCTCAAAAGTCCCCTCATGCTGCCCCTTCGTAGTCAATCACTCACCCTTCTCCCCTGTCCCTGGAAAGCATTGATTTCTTTTTTGTCCCAATAGGTTCACCTTTTCCATAGTGTCATATAATTGGAATTATGCAATATGTCACCTTTTGGTTCTGACTTCTTTCACTTAGCAAACCAAATGTAAGATTCCATGCTGTTGCATGAATTATTATTGTCGTATTCTAGTATATGGATGTACCACAGTTTATCCATCTACATGTTGAAAAAAAATCTGAGTTTCCAGTTTATGGCAACTGTGTCTAAAACTGCTATAAGCATTTTATTACAAGCTTATATATGAACATAAATTTTCATTTCTCTTGGATAGATATCTGGGAGTAGGATGGTTGGGTCATATGGTAGGTGTTTGCTTCATTTGATAAGAAACTTTTAAACCATTTTGCAAAGTTGCTGCATTATTTTGCATTTCCTCAAGTAATATATGAGAATTCCAGTTGCTTTGTGTCATCACTAGTACTTGCAGTTGCTTTTTGTTAATTGAAAGTATTATTTAGGGGAGCCTGGGTGGCTCAGTCATTAAGCATCTACCTTAGGCTCAGGTCATGATCCCAGGGTCCTGGGATCGAGCCCTGCATCGGCTCCCTGCTTGGCGGGAGGCCTGCTTCTCCCTCTCCCACTCCCCCTGCTTGTGTTCCTGCTCTCGCTATCTCTCTGTCAAATAAATAAATAAAATCTTAAAAAAAAAATCATTTAGATAATTATCTAATGATTCATCTGCAATTATAAGAAATAATACAGAGAGACCTAATATACCCTGTACCTAATTTTTCCAAATGGCACATCTTGTAAAACTGTAGTATAATATCAGAAACAAGATATCAGCAATGATACAATCCACCCACCTTGTTCAGGTTTCCCTTTTACTTGTGCTCATTTGTGTGTGTTGCATGCATGTGTGTGTTTAGTTCTGTACAGTTTATCACGTGAGGTTTATATATCCAACACCACAGTCAAGATCCAGGGTAGTTCCTCAACCACAAGGATCCCTCATTTTCGTCCTTTCATAAACATCACCATCTCTTTTTTGGATACACCTACCTCATCCCAGACTCTGGCAACCACTAATATGTTCTCCATTTCTATAATTTTGTCATTTCAAGAATGTTATCTATACAACTCAACGTTAAAAGACAAAAAATTCTTTAATGGGTAAATGACTTCAATAGCCATTTCTCCAAAGAAGACATACAAACGAGCAATAAGCACAAAAAAAGATGCTCAACATCATTAGTCGTTAGGGAGATGCAAATCAAAATCACAGTTAGGTACCCCTTCGGAACTATGAAGATTGCTATATTTTTTTAAAAAAGGACATTAAGTGTTGACAAAGAAGTAGAGAACCTGGAAGTCTTGTACATTGCTGGTGGCTGTGGAAAACCATTGGGCAGTTCCTCAAAAAGTTAAATGTAATTGCTATATTACCCAGCAGTTTTTCTAAACATATACCCAAGACAACTGAAAACATGTTCACACAAGAACTTGTACATGAATATTCAAAGCAACGTTATTCATGATAGCCAGAAGTTGGTTGAACACAACGCAAGTGCCCATCAGCTGATACCTGGATAGACAAAATATGTTGTGTCTATACAGTGAATATCTTACAGTTATAAAAGGGAATGAATTGCTGCTACATGCTGCAACATGGATGAACCTTGAAAACATTACACTAAATGAAAGAAGCCAAACACAAAAAGGCTACATATTGTATGATTTCATTTAAATGAAATATCTAGAATAGCCAATCCATAGAGATAGAAAGTTAATTAGTGGTTGCCAGAGGCTAGGAGGTAAGTGGAATGGTGAGTGACTGCTAACAGGTATGGAGTTTTTCTGGGGGGTGATGAAACTATGCTGTAATGTTAAAAACTTACTTACACACAAAAACCTGCACATGGATGTTTATAGCAGCTTTATTCATAATTGCCAAAACTTGTAAGCTACTAAGATGTCCTTCAGTAGATGAATCGATCAATAATCTAGACTATAGAATATTCTGTGCTAAAAGAAATGAACTATCAAGCAATGAAAAGACATGGAGAAACCTTAACTGTGTATTACTAAGTGAAGCCAACCTGAAAAGGCTTCAGACTGCATGATTCCAACTATATACCATCCTGGAAAAGGCAAAACTGTAGAGATCATAAAAAGATCAGAGGTTGTCAGGGATTTGGGGGAGGGAAGGATGAATAGGCAGAGCACAGAGGATTTTTAGGGCAGTAAAACTACTCTGTATGAGGACTCTAATGGTGGATACATGTTACACATTTCTCGTACCCATAGACTATCCATCACTAAGTTAACCCCAACGTAAACTATGTACTTTGGGTGATTGTATCAATGTAGGTTAGTTGATTGTAACAAATGTACCACTTGGTGGGGGATATTGATAGTGAGGTGGGGCAGTGCACGTGTGTGGGCAGCGGGTATATGGGAACTCTGTTAATTATGCTCAGTTTTGCTATGAACCCAAAACTGCTCCAAAATATAGTCTGTTCAGAAAAAGTCCTGCCACTAGATAGTGATTGTTGCACAACACTGTGAATATACTAAAAAATCACTGAGTTGTGAATTGTGAAAGGTGAATTTATGCTATGTGAATTAAAGCTCAATTTTAAAATAAAGAACATGTTCCAAGAACATTATATAAATGGGATCGAACAGTCTGTAACTTTTGGGGATTGTATTGTTTCACTCAGCTTAATTCCTAGGAATTCATCCAGGCTATTGCTAAGTGTCAGTACTTCATTCCCTTGTGTTGCTGAGTAGTAATCCATGGTATGGAGGTACCACAGTTTATCTGCTTATTCACCTGTTGAAGTATGTCTGTTTATTTCCAGTATTGGCTGTTTTGAATAAATCTGCTGTAAACATTTGGGTATAGGTTTTTAAATAAACATAACTTTTCATTTCTCTGGGCTAAATGCGTAAGAGTGCAGTTATCGAGTCGTATGGTAATTGCATGTTACCTTTAGGGGGAATGGGAGAGGGAGAAGCAGGCTTCCCGCTGAGCAGGGAGCCCGATGCGGGGCTTGATCCCAGGACCCCGGGGCCATGACCCGAGCTGAAGGCAGATGCTTAACCATCTGAGCCACCCAGGCGCCCCTGCATGTTACCTTTATAACAAACTACCGAACTGTTTTCCAGAGTGGTGCTACCATTTTACATTCCCACCCAGCAATATGTGAGAAATGCAGTTTCTCACCAACATTCGCTTTGCCACTATTTTTTATTTTAGCCATTCTAATAGGTTTGTAGTGATCTATCATTTTAATTTGCATTTCCTGATGGCTAGTGATGTTGAACATCTCATTTGCTTATTCATTCTAAATATAGAATTTAGTTAAGCCTCTAGATCTTTCTACCATTTTATAGGAGATAGAAAAGAGAAACAAGTTGAATGGTATCCTGGGAAACAGTCAAATTCAGAATGTTTTGGGACATTGTATAGTCCACATATACTAATTTCTACAACAAGTCAATGGTTTGAGGAAAGAAGTGTTTATATGGGATGACTGTTACGGAATGAAAGAGACATAAGAGAAATAATAGCTAGATGCAACATGTGGAACTTGTTTGGATTTTCATTTGAAAAAGCAAACAAAAGTATCATTGAGACAATTGGGAAAACCCGAAAATGGACAAGATATGAGACCATACTAAGGAATTACTGTTATTTAGACATGGTAATGGCATGGTTGTTACATAAGACAAAATTCTTTTCAGGTAGAGATCAATACTGAATTATTTATATGGTAATGATGTATCTAGGATATGTTTTAAAATAGTCGAGCAAAAAAGAACAGAAAAAAATGAAATTGGAGTGGAAGAGTAGAGAAAGAAGATTGGAAAAGTATGATAGCTATTGAAAGTGAATGATGGATAGCTGAGGGTATATTTTAATATTCTTCTTACTATTGATGTTTGAAATTTTCTGGGGTAAAATGTTTGGAAAAGTACTTATTGAAGTAGTAGTTTGTATTTTAAAATAAAACACAAATGTTTGTTGCTCTGAAGCTTTGATGAAAAATATCTGATTCTGGAGGACAAATAACTGAAGTTACTTTTAAAAAAAATTCAGGCAGAAGAAAACAAAAGATTGAGGGAACTCCAGCTTGAACAAGAAGAAAAATTGGCTATGGAATTGGCAAAACTAAAACATGAAAGTCTAAAGGATGAAAAGATGAGGCAACAAGTAAGAGAAAACAGGTATCTTGGTTTTTATAAATTTATTTTGTCTTTGCCTTTAAACTTTTATCTAATGCTTAGCACCTGAGAGTGAAATTTCTTTCTTTGTATCATTGCACTTAAGTTAATATTTTGTCTGGAAATACTTATTGCTTTAAATGCTATATATATTCATTTGGGAAAAGAAGTCGTGTTCAAAGAAGTAAAGTATTTAAGGTGAAAATAAATAGCAATTTCTTCTCTTTTTTTAAAATGACCTAAAAAATAGACTCATGAGGGGCGCCTGGGTGGCTCAGTCATCTAAGTATCTGACTTTGGCTCAGGTCATGATCTCGGGGTCCTAGGATATAGCCCCACTTTGGTCTCCCGGCTCAACAGGGAGTCTCTCTGCCCCTTCCCCACCCATGTACTCGCGTGCTCTCTCTCTTTCAAATAAAAAAATAAAATCTTAAAAAATATGACGCATGAATCCTACTCTTCAGTGAAACCTTAGGGGATACGTAATTTAATTTTCTACACTGACAAATTTCCTACAGTATTTCTGGAAAGTGGCTGGTCAGCTATGGCTCCATACCTCTAGTGATTGGGATAGAAACTTCTTTTTTCATTCAGCCCTAACTTTGAATAATCTTTTTCCCCCTGTTGTTTCAAAATTAATTTCCCTGTAACTTTCATGCATTTATCTCAGTTCTGCTATCTGATGAAAAACATTTAGTTCTTACTTAGAATATCCTTTCATTTATGAATCCCCTAAATGTTTTCTTCTATAAGTTAAATATCCTTCATTTGTTCCGTATATAATATGATTTCAAGCTCCTTCACCATCCTGGTTTTCTTCTGTAGATGTAATTTACATAATTATTGTTCTAAAATATTGCCCTCATAATTGTGTATGATGAATGTTCTAGGGTACTGCTTAATACTCCTAGTAGTGGGACTGTTAACCACGTTGTTCTAGAATATATTTCTTAATATTGCTTAAGATGGAATTGCTTTTTTGGACCAGGCATGCCACACTGTTGACTAAAACTCAGGGCTAACTAAATGCTCATCCTATAGTTATATAGTTTGAATATATTAGAAATTTACTTTGATAATTGTTACATATTATCTTAACTGAGCTGGACTTCCGTAGGATATTATATAACCCATGAGTGAGCTTCAGGGATTTTGAGCTTCATTAAATTATATTTATATGTTTGACAAATGTACCCATTGTATTTTTCTGGGTCCACAACTTTTATCAAATTCTTTAAGGGATTACTAATGCTTAAAGATTTAAAATTGCCACTAATGTCTTCATATTGTTCTAGTTGCAAACTATCTTTTTGGACATTAATTCTCCGGTCATTGTTAGCTATCCCTCATGGGTTTATGTTTATCTGGAGACGAAATAAATATTTCATCATGTATTTGTCTAATTCACTGATCTAAAAATTAAATAGAGGAACTTCCCACTTCTAGCAGTTTTTAGACAAGGTGATTCAAATAAATGCTCTCTCTGAGAACATAATATCTGGAGAAAGTATAAAAGATCTGAGAGAGGAAGGAAACCAGAATGGTGAGCTTGGCATTTGTAGCTACACTTCTTCTGGAGGTTCTGCTGATTCCAAAATGATGGCTGAGAGGCCAATAAGCATGTTGCAAGCTGTTCAACATTATTTTACAAGTTTTATGCGTAAGATTTGTACACTTTAGTTTATGTTTTACTTCAATAATACAGAATTCAATTAGATTTTATTTTTTTAATTTTTTTTTTTAAGATTTTATTTATTTATTTGACAGAGAGAGAGAGACAGCGAGAGAGGGAACACAAGCAGGGGGAGTGGGAGAGAGAGAAGCAGGCTTCCCGTGGATCAGGGAGCCCGATGCGGGGCTCGACCCCAGGACCCTGGGATCATGACCTGAGCCGAAGGCAGACGCTTAACGACTGAGCCACCCAGGTGCCCCTTCAATTAGATTTTATTAGATAGAAGCAGATGAAGAGATTATGTGCAAGCAGGTTAGTGGAAAATATCCAGAATAAAGCACAGAGAGACAAAAGGATAGAAAGATACAAAAGAAAACTTAAAAGAGATAAGGGCTATGATGGAAAGTTCTAACAAATGTATAATTTTAGTTCTGGTAGTAGAAATAAAAGAGGATGATGCAGAAGCATTATTTGAAAAGACGCTGGCCAAGAATTTCCAAACATGATAAAAGACATAAAGCCACAGGTTAAAACACAACAAACGATGAAAACTATATCTATGCTCACCCTAGTCAAACTTTTGAAAGCCAACAATAAAGAAAACCATGAAAATCACAAAAGTAGCCCCACAAAAGACTACTACCTTCAAAGGAGCAGCACTAAGAAGTATGACTGGATTTTGAAAGCCAGGAGTGAAAATGAGAAGACCATGGATTTAAAGGGCCATAATAAAATAATGGCCCATATAGAATTCTATACTTCGTGAAAATTTTCTTCAAACTTAAGGCAAAAGTTATTCAGTTGAGTACTTATTCAAATAGGGTATGCTGTTTCTCAGCAGTGTCAAAACTTCTAAGAGTTTTTCACTTTTTGCATAAGCCATGGTAGAATTTTGACTTACGCAGAAATGGACCATTATTCTGATCAGTGTTTTCATCTGCTAATTGACAGGTCTAAATTCAAGGAAATGTTTGCTGTGGTACTCAAAATATATCCTAAATTATTAAAATAAATCTATAGTAAGATTAAACTCTTTACATTTAAAAGAAATTAATTTTTAAAAACCAGGGTGAATTTGGAAAGCTCATTGAAATTTATTTTGAAAATAACTGAGTTTGAAAGTCATGAGATTGTTTTGTTATTTGATTTTTGAACACATGATTTTTTTTTTTTTTTTGCACTGCTTTAAAAAATTTTATTTCAATGCAACCGTAACAGACCAGAGTAGGTGTGAAACCCAAAGATGGGAGCACCATATCTTATCATTGCTTCCCCAGAAGCCGAAGCAAAGATACAGCACTGAGAACACATAGACTGATCTTTCCTATTTCTGAGACCACATGAGAAAAAGGCATTTTTCTAACTAAAGTCCGATCATAACATTTTTCATTTAAAGTCAGTGTCTCAAATTGCAACCTGCAGGTGAACCACAAAACTGCTATGATGCTTGTAAGCCTCGTATTTCTTAAGGACACGGGCCAAAATGTCCAATTTAAAGAAAGCGTGGTATTTCACAGATGTCATGAGACACTTGCTTAAACAGAAAGGAGAGCTTTAAAATGCAAATGATACTTTGTGAGATTTTTTTTTAAGCACTAAAAAGAAGGCTGAGGGAGGAAATTACAAAGATTATAGAACACATGATTTTTTAATCCAAGAAAATATTTAAAAGACAGTTTATCACTGCTTTTTTTTTTTAAAGATTTTATTTATTTATTTGACAGAGAGAGACATAGCGAGAGAGGGAACACAAGCAGGGGGAGCGGGAGAGGGAGAAGCAGGCTTCCCACTGAGCAGGGAGCCCGACGCGGGGCTCGATCCCGGGACCCTGGGACCATGACCCGAGCCGAAGGCAGATGCTTAACGACTGAGCCCTCCAGGCCCCCCAGTTTATCACTGCTTTTAACTTGAGATGGGACAGTTACTCCCTATTTTTAGAAGTCCTTTTTAAATTATAGCATGAATCAATTAATAATTACATGTGTGATTAGTAATTTTAATTACTTAAAATTATTAATTGTATAATTTTTATAATTACATAATTAGCAACTATACATATATTACATAGTTAACACATAGGTATATGAAAGCAAAAAGAATTACCTCATATGTAATTTGTATTTAAGTTCAGCAAAAACTAGCCCAAAGAAGAGATAAAAGATAGTCTTCCGTTATTAAATACATAACCAGTTCCTTGCTGGTGCCAGTACAATTACAACAATCAAAGGTTTATAGCAACCAAGTGAATGCTGAATCAAGAAAAAGCAGCTTAGAAATGGTACCAAAGTTTGTGGTATTTTTTTTTTTTACTTGTCCTTGCTCCATCTCTTCCCAGCTCTGAGGCAGTCTTGAAGTAGTAGCCCATATTGTGAGTATCTATCCCTGGATCTAGAGAGAGCAGAGCAGATCTTAATTAGAAAATTATTGTATATTTATGTTTTAACCTACTTGGGAGCTACCTGAAGGATTGACACAAGATGCTCATCTCTGTTTCACTTAACTCCTAACTCACTCAGTCCAGAAAAGCAAATTATATCTCTGATAAGAATTTAAATCCAGAATATATTTAACAACAAAAGACAACCCAATTCAAAAATAAGCAAAGTATTAGAGATTTATTCAAAGAAGATAGACAGTAGGCAATAAGCACATGAGAAAAACACTCAACATCATTAGTCATTAGGGAAATTGCTAGGATAGCTATAATAAAAATAATGGAAAATAAATGTTAGTGAACATGGAAACAAATTGGAACCCTTAGACATTGCTGGTAGGAATGTAAAATGGTGCAAGCACTGTGGAAAACAGTTCGGCGGTTCTCAAAAAGTTATACAATTACCATATGATTTAGTAATTCCACCCCTTGGTAGATACCCACAAGGATTGAAAACTGAGACTTAATCAGGTATTTGTACACTAGTGTTTAATGCAGCATTATTCATTATTCATAATAGCCAAAAGGTGGAAACAATCCAAATGTCCATCAACAGATGAATAGATAAACTTTGGTGTGTGTGTGTGTGTGTGTGTGTGTGTGTGTGTGTGTGTATATATATATATAGTGGAATGTCATTCAGTTATGAAAAGGAATGAAGTTCTGATACATGCTACAATATGGTTGAACCTTGAAAACAATATGTTAAGTAAGCCAGACACAAGAGAATAAATACTGTGTAATTCCACTTATGTGAAATAACTAGTACAGGTAAATTTATAGAGACAAAAAGTAGTTAGAGGTTACCAGGTATTAGGGAAAGGGAGGAATGGGGAGTTATTACTTAAATGAGTACAACATTTCTGTTTAGAATTATGAAAAATTTCTGGAAATAGTGATAGATGGTTGTAGGACATTCTGAATGTAATTAACACCACTGAATTGTACACTTAAAATAGTTAAAAATGACAAATTTTTGTTTTATGTATTTTACCACAATAAAAAAGTTAAAGGATTAAAAAAACCCAAACTTACAGGTTTAGCTAAAGCTGTTACTCAAGAGTAATTTATAATCTGAAATGACTAATAGAAATGAAGGCTCCATCTGGATTTATTAGAAAATGAACAGCAAATTTCCATCTGGCATGATTACGAAAAGAATGTAGAAGAACAATAAGAGCAGAAACAAATACATTAGAATGTTAGCATAAAGTAGAATCAAAGCCAAGAATTGTGCCTTTAAAAAGGCTAATAAAATTGACAACCCCTGACAAGAATGATAAAGTATAAGAGAGAATGCATGAATAACCAATTTTAGGAATGGATGATAGTACATCACTATACATCATACAAATATTTGCTAGATGGTAGGATATTGTGAACAATTTGATACAAATAAATTTGGAAATTTAGATAAATTCGTAAATAGAACATTTTACCAAACTGACTGGCACAAGTAGTAACAGAAACCTATAACTTTATAATTAACCTTGTTCACAAAGAAACCTTCATGGCTAGTTGGTTGGTGAATTTTACCAAACACTCAAATAATAACACCAGTCTCACATAGGTTTGCAGAGTGGAAAAAGGGAATACTTCCCAGTTGATTTTAATAAGATCAGTACCTGAATAGGATAAAAAAATTATAGACTGTTTCTCTTGAATTTAGCTACTATAATTTGAAATTAGTATCAAAGCCAGTGGCATGTGAGAAAGATATTACATCTGACTAAATTTAACTTATCCTAGGAATACAAAGTTGGTTTAACTAGAAAATCAATAAATGTAATGCATCCCATTAACAGAATATAATAGATAAACTATATGAGAAGAAGCCAATTGATATAAATCAACATCACTCTAAGATTAAAAAAAAGGATTAGGAAATTAGGAATAAAATGGAGTTTACAGTAACATCATACTTAATGGCAAACGATAAACACTTTATTAAGAAGACAGGGATGCTTGCTATAATACCTTGTACTAATCTTTGTATTGGACATACTAGCCAGTGCAATAATGCAAGAAAAGTAAATGAAAGGTGTTAGGATTGGCAGTAAAGAAATAAAACTTTAATTATTCCCAGATGATATGATTGTGTATGTAGAAAATCCAAAAGAATCTATGTATAAATTTATAAGTTCAGCAGTGTTGTTGGATGTGAAGTCAATATGCATTAACTGTATTTCTGTAAATTAGCAACAATTAGAGAATGAAATTTTTAAAATAATTTGTACAAGAGCATAAAAAATACATACCTAATGAAAGAGCTATAAAACCTCAACACTGAAAGAAAACAAAAATAAACCATTATTAATAGTTTTTAAAAACAGAAATAATTGGAAGGATATACCATGTTTATTGAAGACTCAGTATTGTGAACATGTCAGTACTCTCCAAACTGATTTATAAATTCAGTATAATCCTAATCAGAATCTCAGCCATTATTGTTTATTGTGACACTTGACAAGCTGATTCTAAAATGTATATGGAAATGCAAAGTACCAAGAATGGCTAAGATGATCTTTAAGAAGACCAAAATTGGAGACTTATTCTCTAGGATATGAAAAATTATTATAAAGCTACAATAATTATGATAGTGTGGTTTTAGCACAGAATAAATAAATGGGTCAATGGAATAGAATGGAGCAGATCTTCTCACCCAGAAAATTTAAACCCTAATGGCCTAAGGCATCTGTTATCTGTAATGAGTTAACTGACCTTCTATCAGTCTAAAACAATACCAACTATATGCTATGAGAAAATTAAAATATAGGTTCTCAGTCTTCTGTGGGGCTTAATTCTCTTATGGAACCCCAGTTGAGGAAGGATGGGATATATTCAAAAACAGATCCATGCATAGATGCACACCTCAACTTCATGACACTGCAGGGCACTGTGACTGGCCTGGTGCTGCAGAACATTCAGAAATGGACAGTTTTATAAAATGGTACTGGATCAATTCAATAGCCATATGTACAAAAATGAGCTTGATTTTCATCTCACACTACACACAGAAATCAATTCTTGAATGACTGTAGTCTAAAAGTCAATGGTGAAACAAAGTTTTGAGAGACTAATATAAGAAAATACCTTTATGTGTGTGCAGTAGGCAACATTTCTTAAAACAGGACACAGAAGTCATTGACAATGAAGAAAAAGATTGGTGAATTAGAATACTTCTCTTCATCTAAAGAAACCACGGTGGGAGTGAGTACAGACTGGAATGAAATATTTCCAATGCATATAAGCAACAAAAGACTTGTATCAAGAATATATAAAGAACTTTTATGCAACAATAAGAAGTAGACAATTTAGTCTAAAAATGGGCAAAAAAATATTGAACAAAAACTTCACAGAAGATGTAGAAAGGACTCAAACATATGAAAAGGTCTCAGTTTCATTTTAATAATAGGGAAACAAATTAAAACCCCAGTGATAGATTACACACCGCAAGAGTGGTTAAATTGAAAAAGAATGACAAGACCACAGAGTGCTGCTGGGATGTGTAGCGGTGTAAGCGCTCTGAGTGCAAAGCTGTGCAAAGCACTGGAAAGGTGGCATTTTCTCTTCTACATTTGAACACAGCCTACCTGTGACTCAGAAATTTCACTCCTAGGTATATAGCCAATAGAAATGTGTGTACTTGTCCTTCAAATGAAGGTCATTTATTTGCATGTTAGTTATTTGGAATTTGATGCACTTTTTTTTGGAGAGGTGATATATATTGTGATTGGGTTCATACATTGGTTTACAAATATTAATACCTAACTCTTAACAAAAACCCTTGTAAATATATTGCAGCCTATCAGAGTAAAATATATAGACTAACTTAGAAACTTAATCCTCATTTATTATTTTTATGAAAGAAAGCAATCTTGTGTCATATACATTTACATCTACAACAGGAAGGGCAAGAAGGACACATCGCAACACCAAGAATAGCTCTCCTCTTACCCATGATGACTGTCTCTTTGGAGGTATAGGGTACTTGTAAGTTGTTTATAATTAGGTGAGTGCCTCTGTTCTAGTAAGAATTAAGATGTGTTCGGGGCACCTGGGTGGCGCAGTTGGTTAAGCATCCGACTCAGCTCAGGTCGTGATCTCCGGGTTGTGAGCTCAAGCCCTGCATTGGGCTCCAGGCTCAGTGCAGAGTCTGCTTCAGACTCTCCCTCTACTCCCCACCTCCCCCACACTCTCTCTCTCTAAAATAAATAATCTTAAAAAAAAGAATTAATTTGTGCATCCAAGTAACATCTAAGGACCCTTCCAACTCAGAATTCTCATATTCAGAATTCTGGCACATTAAAATGAAAAGTTGTATATGGCATTTTGTTTTCCACTATAGCTAGGGAAGGGATAGATTCAAAAGCAGTTTAGAGATTATCTGAGGGCAATCCTCATTTTTAACAGATAAGCAAACAAGCCCAGAAAAGTGAAGCAAACTTGCCCATGGTCATTCCTCTTCATCATCATCATCAAAAAATAGTTACCATTCATAGAGTGTTTACTATGTAACAGGTACTTTTCTAAGCTTTTTATAGGCATTTACTAATTCCCATAGCTAACCCTTCTACAGATCACAAAACCGAGGTATAAAATTTAAGTTACTCGCTTTAAACCACTCCACTCTAGTTCTTTTAGCTCGATAGCATTGGTAGCTGGACAGAAGTTTTAACCAATATTGATAAACCATCTTCTCTTTGAGTCATACTCTGGCAAAAAGGTTTTTAGTGATGATTATTGGAAATAAAAGGGTTGTTTTGTCTGGAAAATTAATTATAATGCCTCATTTCATATGCATTCTGATTTTTCTTTGTGTGAAGGGAGGAAAGGATATTGTTTTCAAGGTATTTAATAATATCACAAACCTGTACCTCTGAAACAATATATTATATGTTTAAAAAAAAAAAAAAAAAAAATCAGGAAGGGAAGAATGAAGGGGGGAAAATCGGAGGGGGAGACGAACCATGAGAGACTATGGACTCTGAGAAACAAACAGGGTTCTAGAGGGGAGGGGGTGGGGAGGACGGGTTAGCCTGGTGATGGGTATTAAAGAAGGCATGTACTGCATGGAGCACTGGGTGTTATACGCAAACAATGAATCATGGAACACTACATCAAAAACTAATGATGTATAATGTCTGGTGATTAACGTAACATAATAAAAAAAATACCAAAAAAAAATATCTTTTACATTTAGAAAAAAGTTCTTTTAAATTTCAGATATAGACCTTTAAAATAGTAAGAAATATGGTCCTCAATTTTAAATTTCTGTCTTTTTTTTAAACAGTATTGAGCTCAGAGAATTGGAGAAGAAATTAAAAGCAGCTTACATGAATAAAGAAAGGGCAGCTCAGATTGCAGAGAAGGATGCCATTAAATACGAACAAATGGTAATCATGTTTATGTTTTCTATATTTTTAGCTTCATATAGAAAACCAAAAATAGACCAATTTTGTGAAAATTGTCACATACTATAAAGAATTTACACTGCTAGGTTTCTTAAATACTTTTATACTTTTCAGATCCTTAAGGCACAGGAACTCATAGATTATTTAATAGTGAGCCTTGTTTAACTTAATATTAGAGCCTTTTGGAGACACAGAGAATGAGGTTGCTGTTTAGAATGAATAGCTATACTCAGTAAGTCTAAGCATTCCTTGTGGTCTCTTACTGATTATTCTTTGGCAAATCAATACAGTACAAGTTGTTAGTGTGATCAATAATATTTTAGAATGTTATTAAATTTTGTACTTGTTAAATGTTTTAAAAATTAAAATATTTTATAATTTTAGGTAGGAAACTTGCCTGTTTTTTAAGTAGCTACCTCTTTTCTCCTGTTTCTATTTTTATCCCCTTTTCTAACTCCTGACCTAACTGCCAAGTTCAGGGCAAGAGTTAATCTTGGGCAAAGGAGTTTCAGACACATTTACCAGTGATGGTATACAGTAAATGTAGAATTGGGTTTATTGAGTTAACACTTCAAACCATTATACCATCACTTGAGCCCTCATGGTCCCGTGGAAAGGCTAGATGTAGATGAAAAGGTCTGACTGCAATATTACATGGTCTTGTAAGTTCTTTTCTCTTGTTTCTCTATTATTATGTAGAGCATTTTGGTGGTAGAATTTCCTCTTTCCTAGATCCCTTTCAAAGATGTCATACAGCTGTTAAAGGGAAGAGGTAGAAGTAAATGTTCTGGCTTTTAAAGTTGGTCTGAATATATTACAGGTTAAAAAGAAAAAAGCAAGTTGCAGAAAAATCAAGTTGGAGAGTAATACATATCACAGACCATTTTTATTTTTTAAACCTTTATGTGTACATCAACCTATGTGTAGATATCAACATACGTTCACACACACACATACAGTTAGAGAAATAATATCAAAATACTTAACCAGCGCAGTGTGATAGAGGCATCTAATACGATGAGATGCTGGCCCTAGCGATCTGTGTATGCGTGTGTGTTAGTATAGGAAAAGTCTGGAGCATTGCACAGCCAGCTACTGACTGGGATTGCCTTTGCTGAGATGGGTTGTAGCAGAGAATGAGGAGACTTCATTTCCTAAGCCATGTAGTTCTTTTCTAAGCTTGCAAAAATAAAGTAGAACATAAACAATGTACTCTTTGGCTAGTAGCTTGCAGTTTTAGGTTTCTCAAAGCAATTGTACATTTTAATCTGACTCCTTAAAGAATTGCCGCTATTTTCTAAATAAAATTGGTCCATAAAAATTAAACTCAAATAGTCCTAGATCTTGACTAGGTGTCGAGATATCTAGGTGCCAGTTTGGGCTCTGTCTTTCTGAGCTTTAGCCTTATCTGTGAAATGAAAATATTGTATTTCTATGTGTACAGCAATGTATACAAAGATGTTTTTATCATTTCACATTTTTTTAAAGAACCTAGTACAGCATGTGATAAGAAAATAGAAGCAGAGAAAGAGTTTTGGTCAAGTCATATTAATATTGTATGTGGTAAAGGCTTCAATTAGATCAGGAATGGCATTCAGCATTCATATTTTAATCTGTTTCTTCTTGTCTATTTGATGCTGTTAACCATTCTAGTGTTTGAATTGTGATCATAATGGTAAAAGGTAATAAAAATTGCCTCAATATATTTAATTTACAACTTATTTGGTTAATGATTTCAAAATGCTCAAAACAAATAAGGGGTTTAACCTAGTTAAGAAGCAAGATTGTCTCTAACTCAGAGGGAATGGTCTTGAATGAGTGAATTAAAAGCCACAGAAAACAGACACAGTGGTATATATGACTCTTTTAAGTTAAAGTGATTATAAAGGGCATTTAATAAAAGAGAAATGACAGACTTCAAAGGCCAGTGGCAAGAAACAAAGTTTAGGCTGGGAGAAACATAAGAGTTGCTCAGAGCTGTTTAATAGTAGACCTATCTGAAAAAGAGTACCATCCTTGCTGTAAATGGCAGCTGATACACAGTGGAGCTAAGAATTGCCTGTATCAACTTTTAAATAAAAGAAAAAGAGGACTGCTGCTTTTTAAACATAGTATTAATAAAGTACTTCTAATTTTATTTGCTGTTTTTCAAATGTGGAGTTATCAGTTATCCTTATCCTGTATTTCCTTGAGACCTACTTGAAGGAATGGGAAAGCCTCTTTAGGGTTTGACTCATCATTCAAACCCTTCAGGTGACAGTAACTTTCCTTAGCTTTTTATCTTGACAGATGAAAATATTTTATGCAATAGGCTGTATAATATTCCATTACATCTGTTTTGAAATATTCTATTATACTGTGCTCACATTTGAAAACGGAAAGATGAATTTTGTTTTAATAACAGAAACGTGATGCTGAAATAGCTAAAACCATGATGGAAGAACATGAGAGAGCAATAAAGGAAGAAAGTGCTGCAGAAGACAAACGGAATAAAGTAAAAGCACAGTATTACCTTGACTTAGAGAAACAACTTGAAGAACAAGAAAAGAAAAAGCAGGAAGCGTATGAGCAGTTACTAAAAGAGAAACTCATGATTGATGAAATTGTTAGGAAAATCTATGAAGAAGATCAATTGTAAGTTTATCCCAGCTTCTTTACATGCCTAAACATTGAGATTCGATTTATCTTAAGCTTGTTTTGAAGACGTAAAGCAACTGAACAGTGCCTAGTACATAGTAAGTCCTCAATAAATGTTACAATCATATAAACTGAGATCAACTCCTGTTTATCTTTGTAAGCATGATAATTACCTGATAACAAATGCTTATTAAGTAACAGAATGATTAAACCTTTGTTTTGTTAAATATTCCCGTATGGTGTCAGAGGACTTGTATTCTGATCATTTATTTGCTAGACAGCTAAAGTGGAGAGTGCTGCTAGGCTTATGTAAACAGATTGTTGGCCTTTCTGAGGTGAGATGCATAAAACTTCATTAACAGTTTAGAGGAGAGGTATAAGTAGTATTTTACTCAGAATATTCATACCTGTCATTTATATTTAGCGGCACATAGTGGATACTCAAAATGTTTGTGGTATTAATGAATGAATAAACTATAAGTAGAAAAGCTGTGGGGTGCCTGGGTGGCTCTGTCAGTTAAGCATCCGACTCTTGATTTTGGCTCGGGTCATGATCTCAGCGTTGTGAGATCGAGCCCCATGTCAAGCTTCACGCTCAGTGGGGAGTCTGCTTGAGATTCTCCTTCTCCCTCTGTCCCTCCCCCTCCTTGTGCTCCCTCACTCTCTCTCTCTTAAATAAAGAAAGAAATAAAAAGAAAAGCTGTTTTGCCCACATTATTATCAACTGAAGGAAATGACACATTTTTCAATATTATTTCTGTTACTATAAAATGACACTCACTATTGCTTTTTAGGGAAAGACAACAAAAGTTAGAAAAAATGAATGTAACTCGAAGGTATATAGAAGAGTTTCAGAAAGAGCAGGCTCTCTGGAGAAAGAAGAAACGTGAGGAGATGGAAGAAGAAAATAGAAAAATCATCGAATTCACCAACATGCAGCAACAAAGAGAAGAAGATCGGATGGCAAAAGTTCAAGAAAATGAGGAAAAAAAGCTACAACTTCAGAACATGGTATTAAAATAACCACTTCTTTAACATTAGAGAAATTCTGAAATAATTGTTATTGAATTTGTTTCCTATTAATGTTTGTGTTTCTTTAAAAATTTAATAGCTGACTCAGAAATTGGAAGAAATGCTACAGCAACGTGAAGATTTGGAACAAGTGCGACAAGAATTATACCAGGAAGAACAAGCTGAAATACATAAGATGAAGCTAAAAGTAAGTTTTCGAAATGGAAAGAATGATTAACATAGAGAAGAATATCATTTTGAGATGAAGCAGGAGAAAAATGGTAGATCTAAACCCAACCATATTGATAATTACATTATGTATAAATACTAAAATTAGGGGTGCCTGGGTGGCTCAGTCGGTTAAGTGTCTGCCTTTGGCTCAGGTCATGATCCCAGGGTCCTGGGATTGAGTCCCGCATCCAGCTCCCTGCTCGGTGGAGAGCCTGCTTCTCCCCCTCCCTCTGCCCCTGCCCTGCTTGTGCTCTCTCTCCCTCTCTCTAAGTAAATAAAAGCTTTTAAAACAAAACAAAAACCCACTAAGAAGAAAAATTTTCAGGCTGGATAAAAAAAGCTAGACCTAGGCAGCAGTTAACAAACAGCATAAAAGGCGTGATTCAACTGTCTTATCTATAAGAAACACAATTTAAAGGAAGACATATAGTTTAAAAACAAAAGGATGGAGAGAGATATACTAAACACTAATCAAAAGCAAGTTAGGGTGGAAATCATGATGCTAATAAGGGTAAATTCATCTAGAGGATATAACAGCCCTAAAGGTGGATGAACCTAAATAAAGCTTCAAAATGGATGAAATAAAACTGAAAGGAGAAAGAGACAAATCTGTAATTATAGTTGAGAATTTCAGTATTCCTTCTCAACAGAATATAGTGTTGAATAATATATCCTGACCTCAAGTCAGGATGACTTGCCAGTTTTCTAATTGGGTTGCTTATTCATTTATTGTAGAGTTTTGAGAGTTCTTTATGTATTCTTTTGTCAGGTCTTTTGTCAGGTGTGTAGGTTTACATATATTTTCTCTTAGTCTGTAGCTCGTCTTTTCATCTTCTTAACAGGGTCTTTCTCCAAGCAAATGTTTTCAGTTTCTGTGAGGTCCAGTTTACCAATTTCAATTTTTATAGATTATAATTTGACATCAATTCTAGGAAGTTTTTGCCTAAATCCTGAAGAATTTTTTTTTCTAAAACCTTTTTACTTTTACATTTATATCTGTGATCTGCTTTTGGTTTTTCAAGTTCACCGACTTTTAATATCAGCTTTCTTGAAGTATAATTGACATATAAAATTATAAGATATTTAGAGTATACATTATGGTGATTTATGTCTACCTTGGGAAATGATTCTCTCCATCTAGTTAATTAACATCTATCACCTCACATATTTATCTTTTTGATGAGAGCATTTAAGTTCTACTCTTAGCAAATTTCAGTTATACAATATAGTATTATTAACTATAGTCATTATGTTTTACATTAGATCCTCAGACCTTACTCATCTTATAGCTGAACTTTGTACCCTTTTACCAACCTCTTCCGATTTCCCCTGCCCTCCAGCTTATTATTTCTGTCTTATTATATACAAAAATTAAATGAATGAGACAAAAAAACTGAAACTACAAAATTTCTAGAAGAAAACATAGCAGAAAGACTTTATGACCTTGAGAAGGGTGAAGATTTTTTAGTAGGCTAATAAAGGCATGATCCATAAAGGAAAAAGTTAGAAATTAGGTTTCATCAAAACTAATAACTTCCTAACACTTAGGAAAATGTAAATGTAAGCCACAGTCTGGGAAACAGTATTCCCTACATGTATTTTTTTTTTTTTAATTTTATTATGTTATGTTAATCACCATACATTACATCATTAGTTTTTGATGTAGTGTTCCATGATTCATTGTTTGTGTGTAACACCCAGTGCTCCATGCAGTACGTGCCCTCCTTAATACCAATCATCGGGCTAACCCATCTCCCACCCCCCTCCCCTCTAGAACCCTCAGTTTGTTTCTCAGTACATCATTAGTTTTTGATGTAGTATTCCATGACTCATTGTTTGCATATAACACCCAGTGCTCCATTCAATACGTGCCCTCTTTAATACCCATTCCCTACATGTATCTTACAAAAACTTTTTATTCAGAATATAGAAAGAATGCTTATAACTCAATAATAGGATATAAAGAACCCAGTTTTTTTTCATGAACAAGAAGTCTAAACAAACATTTCATAAAACAAATATATGAATAGCCAATATACAATAAATTGTTAGCTATTAGTATTATTTTCAATATTTTTCAGCTGTATCAAAACAGATCATTTTAGATAATACTGTTTTATCAGTGAGGAGGAAACAGATACCATAGTATTGATATGCAATATACAATTGCATGTATATTCTTAATGATTAACTGCATATAAGAATGTAAAATATGTACATTTCTTTTTAAAAACAACTTAATGTAATCAATTTATATATATCTAATATCAAATTACCCAAAAAAGTTAAGAATAAAATGATGGATGAAGGCATAACAGGTATATATGAACAAATGAAGCAGACAGGCAAGGTCATCATCCCATAAGTAGAACATCAAATGAATCCCAGATATTACAGATGATAGGTATAATTAATAATGAAGGTTTTACAGAATAAACATTTAATTTTCTATGAAACATTGCATTGAAGTATGTAACTTTAAAAGCTATTAAATCTCCAAAGAAAATTTACCAGAATAACACAAGGGGAAATTGTGTTTAACACCACTATATTTTCATCTTTTAACTGAAAATCTAAAAATACTCTTTTCAATTATTGGTTGAAGAGGAAATCTGCAGGTAATTAAGAGGATGAGATTACTACATATCAAAATCTTATCAGATTTATAAAACTGATCTCTGAGGCAATTAATTATTAAACAAGAAACACTGGTAAAACTTACCTAGGCAGCCAATTCAGTAACTTAGATAACAATACAAATTCAAGTATGAGGCAAGAATATGGAAGGAAATCATAAAGTTACAAGTGGAAATTTTCTACAAGTCAGGAAAACACATTAGCATTAATTAATCCAATTACTTAGTATTGGGGGGCAAAGCTTATACTCTGCAAAAACATACTAAAAGAAAAGCAAAACCAAAACGAGAAGGACTAAAGGGTCTATAAATGAAAAAGATTAGAAAATAGTGAAAGGTGGGGTGCCTGGGTGGCGCAGTCAGTTGAGTGTCTGACTCTTGGTTTCAGCTCATGGGATCTCAGGATTGTGAGATCGTGAGATGGAGCCCCACACTGGGCTTCATGCGTAGTGTGGAGTCTGCTGAAGATTCTCTCTCCCTCTCTCTCTGCCCTCCCCCCTCCACTCTAAAATAAATAAATCTTTTTAAACAAATAGTGAAAGCGTCATTCAACTGTATACTCCTAAAATGGGAAAAATATTCATGGCACAATCTTCTGCATTAAAAATATAGTGATTTCAAAAAATGTGGAAAAAGCAGGCAAAATAAGATCACTAAGGATATATCCTATATGCGAAGCTTTTCGTGGCCTGCCTCATACCCTTTTAGCCCTACATTTGATTTCAGTGATAGCTGTGGAGAACGCTTGTGGGGGCTTACACTGACTCTGCTGACAGCTTCCTCAAGTGTGGTGGTGGGGGGGGGGCTGGGAGTTAACACCCTCTGGGGCATCCCTCAACCAACAGGGGACAGAAATTAAGGGCTGAATGCTTCTTCCTGTCAGCCTTTGGGACAGACTTGAAAGGTGCTCCACGCATTCCTCACAAGGTCCTGGCAGGATTAAGCCACAGCTGCCCACATAGTAACCAGGTCAGTGATGCCCCCATATGTTGGCTTTTCTTCCTTCCCTATTTTTCTCTGCTTGTCCCTCACTGCTGCTTCCTGAGTTCTTCTCCCATAAATATGTATACACAAATATTTGTCCAAGGCTCTGCTTTCAGAGGAGAACCCAGACCAAGATACCTCTAAAAGTTTACAGGCTCAGAGTTAGTTTTATAACAAATTATTTCAAACCTTCAGTGAATAGCTATTTCTTTTTTTTTTTTTTTTTTAAAGAGTTTATTTATTTGACAGAGAGCAGGAGAGACAGCGAGAGAGAGCACAAGCAGGGGGAGCAGCAGAAGCAGAGGGAGAAGCAGACTCCCCGCTGAGCAGGGAGCCCGATGTGGGGCTCGCTCCCAGGACCCTGGGATCATGACCTGAGCCAAAGGCAGACGCTTAACGACTGAGCCACCCAGGCACCCCTGAATAGCTATTTCTTAAACCACAATGTGGGTTGTAAAATTATGTAGTCCCTATTACATATATATATAAAATCCTGATCCAGACAGATCAAAAGTTCAGGAATATTTTTCTAGTAGAAAAAAAATAATGAACTGTGTTTTGTTTTGTTTTGCTAACACTTCCCTGATTTTTAGCCAGATGTCTTTACCACTGATTGGATCAAACTAAAATTTGTATGGGAGATGGATGCCAGGAGATGTCAACAGTTCATTTGGTTCAATGTGTGTTTTCTCTGTGCAAGGTATTATGATAAGCTCTGGAGGAATTCTAAGCTGAGACCATATCTGCCTTCATTGAGCCTTCTGACTTGTATATCTTACATGGCAGATGAACGAACACAAACTATAATATCATAAAAACACCGTGGCCAGCATCCCAAAGTAAAATAATAGATATGATATATAAAATAATAAAAAAATATGCCCTGTAAGAATTTATTCTTAAGTGAGGAGATAAGGCATGGCCATATGAAATAAAATTAAATGTTGGGAAAATTCAATGGTATCAAAGGTCCAAAAGACAGATATGTAGGAATTAGAGTGATTAGAAAAGGCTTTCTGGAGATGGAATTTGAACTCATTAGATAGAGTTAAGTGAGGAAAAAGGGGTTGAATATTCAAGATAATGAAAAGGTTACTATAACTGATATTCCAGATTGACTCACTTAAAACCCACTCCTATCCTTTTTGTCTTACTTTATTATAAAGACTATAAAGTTGAAACCACATTTCTCTTCTTCTAGCCAGAATTATGCACAGGACCTAAGTTATCTCCCAAGTTATCCCTCCACCTCAAGGTGTGAAGATAGAAGTGGGCAAAGTGAGGTTGCAGTCACACGTAGAAGACTGGATCATGGGGTGTAGTTTTGGTAGAGTTATTATCATGGAATTTGAGCCATTACCAAAAATAGATGGTAACCAAGATGGCAGCTGGTTCCCTGGCCCTCTTGGAGGTTCTCTATGCCTCCTGCTGGCCTGTGGTAAATCCCTTATAGTTTGTATTACCTATAAAAGCCCTGCCCATACAGCTGTTGTTAAGGCAGTATTTTGAATGCCCTGAGGATACGGCTTACCTCCTGGAAATTGTGTTAGAATTAGGCATGGCTGGTTACAGTTGAGAAGGAATTAAAATTTACATCAGTCCTAATCGGATAGACAATAAAGCAAAGTAGTAAAGGTGTGCAAGGTATTGCACAAAAAATGTAAACATTTTTCAATTATGTTTGAAATTTTTTATTAATGAAATATTAGGAAAATTAAAGCTTGTAGGAAAAGACTTTAACTGCGCCAAGTAAATTTGAATTTTCCCAAGAAACTTGTGATTGTCATTTCTAGATTATTATTCTGAAAAATATTTACCAGTGATTTGAACCACAGTTTCAGGTAAGATTCTAGAATGATCCTAGGGGGTACAAATTTCACAGACCACAGATTTAATAACTTCAGGTGTGCAAAAAAGTTTTTATATCAGCTCCTTCCAAAATATATACAAATTAAAATTTAAAAATAAAAGAAGGCAATCTAGAGGTAACAGGTCCTTTATCCCAACGAGTCTTAAAAGGATGGGGAAAAGTGTCATCTTGAAAAGGCTTAATTCTTCAGTTTTATTTCATCTTGTAACACTGCACTCAAGCAAATTCTATCCACCCTTTCTTTAGGAATCTGCTGTAAAGTTACTGAATTAATGTTATATGGATTGTTGTTTAGGAAGAAGCAGAAGAGAAATTGAGAAAGCAAAAGGAGTTGAAGCAAAATTTTATAGAACAAATGGCCCTGAAGGAATTAGTACTCCAGGCTGCAAAAGAGGAAGAGGAGACCTTTAGAAAGGCAATGCTAGCTAAGCTTGCTGAGGATGATCGGATAGAACTGATGAATACTCAGAAACAAAGAATGAAGCAACTAGAACACAGGAGGGCTGTGGAAAAACTCATTGAAGAGCGTCGCAACCAGTTCCTTGCAGACAAAGTAAGAAAAAGTGTTCTTTTTTGTTATTGTCACTGAACCAACAATCAGCTGCTCATCTGTTTCTCCACTAAACATTTAACTGAGACCCTTGTATGTGCCAGATGCTGTTAGATATCTGTTTACTAATTATATGGTGTAGATATTTTTTGACCAATCATTTATTAATGCATCTAGAATATATTTATTGATGCTTTCTATGTGCTACACACTGGTTGGCTGGTGTTGAGAACATAAATACAACTAAGTCCACAATATCTATGAGTTTATGGTCTTGGTTAAAGAAAATATATAAAAGCAATCATTATAAAGACAGGCCAAGTACATGTGATAAGAATCACAAAGGTACGGGCATCTTGGTGTGGTAGAGAGGACACAGGTCACGAATGCACTGGGTGCTATTTTAAGGAAAGTGACTTTATCCAGAGGTACCCACTGAAGAATTAGGTAAGCCACACAGTAAGTTCTGCCCTTGGAAAGATGACTTGAGGAGGGGTACTGGGGGGAGACATGAGGGGAGTAAGACAGGAGACTGGGAGACCAGTTGGGACGTTACCATGGTAAGTCTGTGATAGGTGGGGAAAGGCTGTGCAGATGGAGAAGGCGCCATCTGAGATACGAGGGAGATAGACTCAATGGCGCTTGGTGGCCAATTAGGTCCAGAGCGGGGAGAGGATTATGGCTGCTGCTTCTGCTAAATAATACTGTTGCTCAGCTTCAGTGAGGGGGTAAGGTCCTAGCGAAAACAAAGAGAAGTAGATTTCAAGGGGGGAGATAATTCCATCTTGTCCGCATTGATTCTGAGGCCCCAGGGGGAGATTTCTTAGTTGGCAATGTAGATTTCAGAGTTGGAGAGGGAACTAGGTTTGTGCCTTTGGACACATTGATTTCTCTATTTTATGTTTCATTCATAAACCTGAAATAATACTTAGATAATCTGCCTCACTAGTTCGTTGAGCTTTGAGAACCAAATAAGATAATATATAAGTGGTTTGTAAACATAAACAGCTCTAAATATGAAGAGTACAGATTAGGCATATGGTACATATTTTTAATTAATAGAAGTGGTAGCGATAACAATGAACATTTACTGAGCGTTTACATGTGTCATTCGCTATTCTAAGCTCATTACAAGCAAAGTGGTAACTTTAAACTTTCAACCTATGAGTTAGGTACTGTTCTACCGCTATTTTAAGGATGTGGAAACTGAGGCATAGAGAGATGATATATATATTGCTCAAGGTTTCACAGCAAGTGGCAGAGTGGGGATTAATAAATTAACTGTTGTAATGAAGACCTTTTTCTGTATGGGTGGACAGGAAGAAATCTCGAGATATTCTTATAATCAACAGATACTGACCTGCTAGGCATTCTGCTGAGTGTTGGTGACGGAACCAAAATAAATAAAAGTTAATTCTGGTAGCTTCTAGGGTAGTGCAAAAAATAGGTCCCAAAAGACTCGATTATATATAAAATTATACTAAGAATACATTTCTTAAATGTACAATGTAAACATTTATAGAATTTGGTAGTTGTAATTTACTAGTTGTGCAATACAGTTGACCCATGAACAGCACAGGGCTTAGGGGTGCTGACCCCTCCCCCAGTCAGAAATCCACATTTAACTTTTGACTCCCCCAAAACTTTAACTAATAGCCTACTGAGGACCAGAAGCCTTACTGATAACATAAAGATTCAGTTAGCACTTATTTTATATATGTATCACATCCTGCATTCTTACAGTAAGCTAGAGAAAACATTTTTAAGAAAATCATGAGAAAATACATTTATAGTACTGTATTTATTGAAAAAAAAATTACGGGTACAGGGACCTGTGCAGTTCAAACCTGTGTTGTTCACTGGTCAACTGTACATTTATGGTGGAACCATGTGGGTTTACCTGGAAATACATAAAAGATGAATAAAAGCAGGCGGCTTTTCTAAGTTGGCAACATATGGAATTACCACAATGAGAAATTTGAATGATAGGCAAAGGAGTTTAGATATGATACAATAGGAAATTAGTGATCATAACATGGTCTTTAGCAAGAGGAGAAGGTAGTAATTCAAGAAAGAGGTGATGAGGACCTGGAATAGGTTCACAGAGCAGTGGAAGAAGCAAGAAAGGGAAGAGTTTTAATATTTTGAAAGGAAGAGGAGACTGGTATGACTTTTTTGGACCATGTAGGGTAGAGTGGAGGAAGGAGTCAAAATAACTCCAAGGTTTCAAATATGAGAAACTCAAAGAATACCAAGTGCTGTTATGTTTTGAGGTGGAACAAAAAGATACAATTACTTCAGTTTTAATCATGGTGGGTTTGAAAGAGAAATGCAAATTGAAAATATCCTGAAGGCAGTTGACCCAGAGGAGCAAAACTTAGGTCAGATTTTCCTAGAAATACATATCTGGCATTAAGTAGCACAGAGAGAGAGGTTCAAGCTAAGATGATTCCTCCAAAGAATATATTATGAGAAACAGTAAGGGGGCCAATCAAGTCTTGGTGAACATTCTTATTTGGGAGTAGGAGGAGGAGGAAAAAAACAATGACAAGACCAAGAGATGGTTAGAAAGGCAAAAGAATCTGGATGGTATATCACAGAAAACCAAGAGAGATCAGCTCTGTCTTTTGCCTGCTCCATGAGGTGTTGGGATACTTTGGTTCTCCTCTATGCTTACTTAACTTCATGCCATAGTTCTGTTGCCATACTTCCAGATGTCTAAATGACATAGTTGGAAATCTTGTAGGTGGCCTTAGAATTTAGGTTTCCAAAAGTGAACATTCCAGACAAACCTTTTCCAATTTCTGTAGCCTGACTCTTGGTTAAAGACAACATATTCAGTCGGTCACCCATGTCTATGACCTTGGAATCATTCTTGGATTTTTACCCATTCCGATCTAGTAATTTTTAGTCAGCCACCAAATTCTATTGACTTCACCTCAGCAATAAGTCTTAAATCCAGTTTCTTTTCTTCATAACTTAGTTCAGACATTTAATATCATTCCTGCGGACTACTGAAATGGTCATCTACTTTTCTCCAGTCCATCTGCGACTAGTTACTATGGGTTTAAAAAAACTCATTATGTCTTCCTCCTGCTTAAACTTAAGTGGATTGCGGCATTAATTCCCAATTCCTTAGCTTTGATATAAACCAATCATGATTTACTCTAACCTTTAAAAGGGTTAACCTATAAACACCTAGCATTTTGCCTAGCAAATGGAAAATAATGTTTGTTGATTCACTGAGGGTGATCAACACTGTCAAATGAGCAGAGCAGTCAAGGAGGATGAAAATTAGAAGGCTTTTGAAACTGATCAGAAGGCTTTGAATACTCATTGCCTAGAAAGAGGTAGAAACAGTGACGAACCATCCCATCTCACGGCTTACAGAGCTAATTAGAAAGCTCCTAGAAAAGTTAGCAAGACAACTGAAAATGGAAATCAGATAAAACTACCTAAAGCCTAGATACTTCAAACAATTTGTCTTAATTTTCTCTAATGTAAATATTCCTAGTATGAAGCTCTGTGCTTCAAGTGTCCGTGAGATTGGTCACGTCCCAAGGGCAAGGGTAGCTTTTTATGATCATGGAAAATATTAATCCATTCCTTTCTAATCCTATAAGGCTGTACTGCTTTTTTAGATTTTAGAGATATTCCTAAAATAGTATCTACAATTCTGTCTAGCTCTAAAAAATTCGTATGGTTAGTCAGACAAAAATCTGAAACTCCCCAGGAAATAGTTTCCTACTACCAGCTATGCACTTTGTCCTAAATGGACAACTGATTTCAGACTTTTCTAAACTCTTTATCCTAATGTACTATAAAAATGTTTATTAGGATATTTAATGTGTTTACCACATCCTAAGAAGAGAAATCTTGTATTCTACCCAAATTAGAGACTGTACATCATTGGACAAAAATCTAACAAGTGAGCTTTCCTCACATCATAGAACTTTCTTGCATCTCCTTTTTGTAAGAAACAGATCAGTTAGGATTAGGTTTGGCTATAGGTACAGAGTACCAAATTAATAGTGGCTTAGTAGATAGGGGGAGTTTATTCTTCCACATAAAAGTCTAAAGATAGATAGGCAATTCAGGGCTGGATGGAGGCTTTTTCAGTCTTCAGGAACCAGGTTCAGCCTAGCTTTTCACTGTGGCTTCTACAGAGTAAAGTCTTTATCTTCATGGTCTAAGTTGGATCTTCACCCTTCATGTTTCAAGCGGCAGATGGAAAAGGTAAAGAAGGGACAAAGTGAGTATATGAGATTGATTCCCAGAATCTGCATATGATACTTCTGCTTATATTCCATTGGCAGAAACCAAGTCCTATTTTGACCACACCTGACTGTAAGGTAGCCTTAGAAATGTAGTCTCAAAAAGAAAATTCAGGTAACAAATAATGCAATATATGTTAAGAAAAAAAAAAAGAAGAAG